CTTGTCACGGAATAATTATCAATCCATCGTGGATTAGTGGTAAGAATTCGACACTGCGGTGCAGACGATTAGAGTTCAAAACCTTCATGTGTTTTTTTTTTAATAATTTGAAATTATGCAGAGATCGTTTTGCTTTTGAATATTTATGTCAGTCGTTACTAGTATTAGAAGTGTTTAAAGTTAAACATTAATATCTTATTGAAAAAAGTGTCCGTCGTACTTTCGAAACTAAAGTAAAAATTCCTCAAAATTAAAAGAACGTTTAAAGAATGTTTAAATAAGTAAAAATTCTACAAAAATAAAAAAATATTATAAATAAACGTATTTACAATTATCAATTATTTTGAAAATCATTACCTGTACAGAGAAATTGATATTAACATTGAGAATTTAGTGATGGATTTGATATAAACAGTCTTCACCGGATTATTTTGCATTCACAACTGAAGACTGTATGAATTGAATTTGAATTATTTTGTATTTCCGTTTTATAACATTGAAATAAAAATAAATTGTAAATAATGAGTTTTTCGAAAATTTGTTACTTAATATGTATCATATTTTCTATTATTTTTTGATTGATAAAACAAAAATTGTATCCTTGGTGTGAATTGAACCCCAATTTTCTCGTCAATAGACAACGTCCCTAACTACTACACCAATTCCACATACATTGTTTTCGGACAGAACATACCTACCTTTATTTTAGTCAAATATTTCAGTTGAGTTATTTTTATTATTAAATAAACAAAGATTTATAATTTAAAATCGCTACTAATGAATGTTTTTTACTATAATATATCTTAATTTATTAAAGTATTTATTCTAACATCAGAAATTATTAAAATAAAATATTTTTGAGGTTATCCGTATAATTATGACTGAAGTCAAAGCCACGTCTAACGTCGTAAAGGTGTGAGACTATCGATGGTAGTAATGCAATGTAATGTAAATTATAGGTTTCTATCGATTATTTCCCACCTCTACGAGTTTCATCTCTTTTTATTTCACAAGGTAACTGTGTTTTCTATTTCTTACTTTAAAAAGCCGGCTGGTAAAGCACTCATCACTGTATATAAAATACTACAGTACTAAACATACGTACATAGTTAAGTTTTAACGGTTTAAATACGTAGGTCATATTGACCCCAACGTACTATAGGTAACAATTTAATTTTTATCAAAAAAACCAGGTAGTTGATTTTTTATCTCGTATGTAATTGAAAGACCTCATATTAGGTAACAAGTAATTTACAACATAAGAAATACATTTTTTTTTGGTCAAATAGACCCGAACAGGTTTAAAAAGGTTGGAATTTATGTCTTCACGGTAGTCTTCATTTGTTCGGATTCAAACACAAGCAATCCGTTTTCCACAAACCATATTAGAACCGATATGTAAAACAATAAGCATTTTGCCGTATTAAAAAAAAGTTTTTAAACTAAAAAAAAGTTTTTACCTTAAAAGTTTTCTGTAGATTTGATATTTCAGGGTTTTCTGAAACTTTTTTTTGCATACTTTTTTGAACTGTTGGAAACTCATATTATAACATGATATTCAAAATAACCGGTTGCTTAAAGCGTTGTTTCTGAGAGAACGGTTCATTCTACATAAAAAATGTTACTATAAATTTATGTTTAAAATTATCCAAGCTACATTTTTTATTTAAAATATTTTTTCCACGGTATACAGATTCTTGGTCGATTTTTTCCGTTTCTCCCTTACGGGAAGGGGTTTTAGAGAGATGCCGGGAGGTGAGAGTGGTAAACTTTTTTGCAAATTTTTTGGGGTCCCAAAATTTTAAAACAGCAAAATTCAGCTTGTTCGTTAGATTTTTAGAGGTTCAGTAGCATTTTTGCGACTGGAGTATAATCTCTGGTACAATGTACAATTTGAAAATAATCTGTTTATAAACAATGTTTATATTGACAAGATAATGACATAAATGTCACGTACTGACATTTATAATCCGAAAAATGGTTGAAATGTCAACCCTAGGCATTTAAATATAAAATTCATAACCTACTTATCTTCAATTTTTCGGTGGCTCGTTACTATAATTTATTATTTTTTAATATTTCTTTCGTTTAGTTTTCTCTTTTTCTAAAAGCTCTTTTCTAACAAATCAATAATGATGCGCCTATAAAGTTTCCTTGGAGTTATATACCTATTTTTAGTATTTAACCATCTAGTAGTAAAAACAAACTAAATATTAATTTTATTAATGCATGAAAGGATTAGCTTGATGAGGTGAGACATTTATGTAATTGGATTAAACCAAGTTCTGGCCTACTTTGTCGAAATTAGTTATTTATTGAGTGTAGATGTTCAATAAAGTATCTGTGCTAATCATTTTAATTTTAAGCATGCTTTATTGCAGCGGTTCCCAAAATGTGTTCTGCGCAAATCTAGGGTTTTATGGATGGGTTACAGGTATTTCGTGAGTTATAACAAGGATTTGTTCTAGTAGTTATAAATTTATTTAAACTATTACTAGTAGTAGTTATAAGTTATAACATTTATTTAAATTACTTAACTAGTTGAAGGTTTTCCTGACAGGAAAATCAATTTCGTGAATCATGTTATGCTAATGAAGTTGTCCTATCTGGTCGATATATTGAAAATGCCTACGCTAGAAACAAACAAAATGTGAAAGTCACAGTGTTTTATTATTATTAAACAAACGCTCCGCATAATTGGATATATTTATTACAACAAACTGTGTTTATCCTTTCCTAGACCTTTCAAAAAATTATCTCGCTCTGCATACCAGGTCTCATAACTTCTATAAACTCTTTATTTTTTTTCTTCTTGATTGACTTTACTGCCCAAGGTGAGTCTTTGCCGCATTCTCTATTACCTCTTTGTTAGAACAAAATTTACGACCTTTTAAACTTGTTTTCAGTTTAGGAAAGACATGGACGGTGCCAAATCTGGTGAATATGGGGGATGTCCGAGTAATTGGAACCCTAAATCACTAGTTGTTTACATGGCAACATTCGTTTTGTGTGTAGGGATAAGTATTGGGAAAACAAAATACGTTTGGACAACTTTCTGCGTCTTCTGACCACATTTTTTGTTCGTAAAGAGGTCAGTAACTTCGAATAGTAATTCTTAATTGTTAGTAATTCCAAAAAGAAATGCAATCCCAAAAAACTTAACACGAAATTTGTTACGCCTTGTAGAACCAAAGTGTCTTCATTCCATCGATTGCTGCTTTGGAAAATTTACTCCTTTTGTAGCTTGTAATCCAATTATTCGAGGTCTTATAGGAGGGAAATTGGTCGCCAAGAATATTTAATAGACATATTTCGCAAATCTGCTGGCCAGATTTTTCCAAATTTTATTGCGCTACTTTGGTTGGATTTTTTGACGTGTCACTACATGGAGACTTCTAATAAGTAATTCTTCGTTGTTATGATAACGCAATGTTTACTTTATCCCCGAATCCGGTTTAGGCTAACTATATATCAATACATCCTCTTATTTGACAGTTGTTACATAGAGAAACCATCACCACATTCAGTAAGTAACAAAGTATCATTTTTTCTTCCCTGGGCCCATCTGATCCAATAAGATCTGTGTTATCATTGAATCTGAAGCTGTGTTTATCATTGTGTTTGCTGCCTGTGTAGTTTTCTACACCCAGTATACAACTTTTGTATCATGTAGAAGTTTGTACAGGTCTTTGCTTAGTGTCCTAAATATACCAGGGTCTCCTTTTGGTGGTCCATAAAGTTTTTGCCTTTGGCGGCCCAACGCCTCGCAATCGCGTAATACATGTTTTACAGTTTCTGATTCTTTGTCGCAGAGTCTGCAGTTTTTTTATTTTTTATTCAGAAATTCTCTGCAGAATAAATACTGATGCAGGCCCATATGGAGCAATTTTTCTGTTTTCTAGATAGCTCACAAGCCGGCGAGTGACGTGTTAAGTCGCCGGCAGTTCAACATTTTCCAGAGCTTTTTACAAGCAGCTATTGTGCGAGTGCATCAAGTACACTGGACTAGTTTACGAGCTGCTTGTGAAAAAGCCGGCTTGTAGATTAGCCCCCCCTGTACTTGAGTCTTTAGTGATTTTCTCAGTGAGAAAATGTTTAACATTGAACAGCTTCTGAATTGATTTGCATCTGATTCTTTTTTCTGTTTTTGCAATCCAGCCATTTCGGAAAATTCGAATACCTTGTTGCATAGAAAACTCTCCTACGTATTGAATAGGAAACGAGTTTTCATTGAACACAATTTAAAATTGGCATAAAGAAATTTTGTGGAAGGACGTTTCATTAAAATAAGCTCTGAATAAATCCTTGAATTGGAAATAAAGAGTTAAGTTTACCCTGATTTGCAGGTAAACAATTTATGCTACAAGGTCAATCCTTGAGAAAATACATTTTTTCCATAAACTTTTGATGAACAAATTTTAAATCTCAATCCCGTCGGTATTATACGAAAAATGTTGATTAAAGTTGTACTTTCCGGACGAAAAGTAGCTGGTTTGTGGTGATGGGGGACCTAAGTTTCCATCTCTTGAAAACTGAAATCGAGAGTTCGTAATTGCGGCACGCTTAAGATTTTTTAATATCTTTTCTTCTATTCAACCGATTTTGATTTATTTTTTAAATTAAGGTCTCGTGGGTAAATAATATAAATATGGTAATAATTTTAATATCAAATTTTTAAAACAATTAGTACTAACAATATAACAATTTTAAAGTGACTATAATAGTCGTATTTTTTACTTTATTCAAATTTGTTTTTATGATCAAAATATTCATAATTTAATACAATTTAAAAAAATTATAATTCCAATTATGATGGCTTAAAATCCCATCCAGTTTTACTGCTTCTTATAGTGCGTATTACAATACTCAAGATTAACATCAACACCAGAGAATTGCTCTCTTTTATAAAGTTTTAAACATTTATAATGGTACATAATGCTATTGTTTAAAAATAACATGTATGTAAATATTTCTAACATCTTTTCTTTTGTTGTTTTTAGCACAGAGAACTGGAAATAGGAAAAATATAGTGTGCGAGAAAAAGGAGATCTTCAACTGAGAGCAAGTTTATCCACCACAACGGAGAGCCCCAGGCAGACGGGGCCACAAGCTCGTGTTTCGGTGAAGGACAACGCTCCTTCCACCAAGCGACGCTGGGTCCCACCTTCTACACTGAGACATCAAGATGCTCTTACGCCAGAATCACGTAATGACCTGGTTTTCCGCAAAGTAAGTCACTGTTCATGTGTTGTCACTTCGTAAACACTAAGTTATAGGTGATACATTCATATATTAGATTAATAATTCGTGGGGTAAATGTCTGTGTGAGAGAGCCAAATTGAAGATTCCTTAGTATCGTAATTCCTAAGTGAGAGTAAAATGTATTACGCCTTTCTCAGTTTCTTTTTTCCTGTGCAGGTAAACTTACTTAAAATATATCGGGTTATCAAATATTCTGGATTATAGGATGAATATCTGGAAAAGCATTGTTTACATAGATTATTTGGTGTATTCATCATAGCCAAAATGTGAAAAATTGAAAACCGCGAGATATTGCTTATTATTCTGAATTCTTATTGTATGTAGAAGAAAACCTTTTTGTAAAAATATAATGATAAAAAATACCGGTGTGTGGTTTAAATTATTTCTTCATAAGTATCATTTAACTGATCACACTATATTTTGGTTTTTTTTAATATTGTATAAATAATATAAGTATAACAATTCTGATTTTTATATGCAGGTGTAAAAGGGTCTTTTGTGTACTATAACAATTTTCAAGTGATTTTGATTAATTGCCAACATCGCGACCAAACAATATTCCCTTTATCAACTTTGTGGACACGTCATATCCAACATTGTCCAACTTTGTTGGCACCCCTTATCAACTTTGTTCAAACACGTATATAATTATAGAGTGTCCAATACAGTACTTCAAAAAACAGAAAACTTTGCAAAATAATTACCTAAGTTATTCTTATGAACTTTCGAAATCCAGCGACTCATCCGAAGAGGAATCCCCAGTCACACTTAAAGTCTATTATTATTTTGTCGAAAACAGTGTCTACCATCCCATCGCAATCTCCATATTGTCTCTTCTTTCTTGATCACATGCGCTACCGCATTAGTCCAATCTCTTTACCGTATCCGTTCGATTGCGAGTTCTAACAAACGTTGGACATCAGAACTTTTATTTCACGTTGTCACGAGCTGCGTAACCTTTTACTTGAGCTCAGATTAATTCTATCGGGTTTAACTCGCAATGGTAAGGATGCTTAAAATGGCGATGCCTTTAGTACGAACCATTGTATCTACAACATACTGGTGATATCTGTCGCGATGCTCTCTATTGACACTTATAAGCTCAGCCTTATTTCTAAGGGATCAAAATGACTCCGGTAAGTACCGGTAAGAAATAACTTCAGGTCAGCTCTCAGTTCAAAGTGTAGATGAGACACCTTTAATTGAAAACTGTCATAGTATAGCGAATGATCGGTGCCTGAGATATTACGTAAACATTTTTTCCTTATATAGGAAAGGGTATGAGGAAATAAAAATATGAAAGTTTTACGGTGTAACTTAAAAAAACTTAACTCTGGTAAAGAATTATATCATTACATCAACTGTACAAATAATCCTATTAATAAATGAAGTTGACGTTTCGGTAAAATGTATTTGTCAAAATATTTACTATACAAAATACTATTACCAATGGTAAATTGTAATACTTTTTGAAGTTATACTTCTATACGCACGGTCGGCGTTGGAAATTTGTCAAGTGAGATTCAGCGAGTGAATCTGTGAAACCATTACATATGTAAGATAATGGGTAAGAGAGAGACAGAAGATATATTTTCTCTCTCTTCCTTTCTCGAGAATAAAAATGTTCCGTTTGTATATATATTTAATATTATATCTATGTGTATGTGTATTATATTTATGTGATGTTTTGTATTATTTATTAAACTTTTATAATTATTTTGGGCTTTTGTATTTCAAAATAATCACTGTTTGACCGATAACTGTCAATTTTGAAATCCGTTAGTGTCACGTCTAATTGGAAAATCCTTTACGTGTTTGGTTCATACGTTGGTGTTCGAGTCCCAATATGAATTTCCTTTTTTATTTTTTAAATATTTAAAAACCTCACGTTAATCTTATTAAATATATGTAATATACGCAAAAATGATAAATTTTAAAATAAAATGAAAATTTACAACATAATCCGAGTTGTTGTTTTTTTTTTATTTTTATTTTCGTAAAGTAAGTTATGTACATTGGCAGTTTTAAATACTTGTGAATATTGCATTTTAATTCATATTGTATTATTATATTGAATTATGTTGCAGTGTATTTATTGTATTGTAATTTTTATATTAATAACAAAATAAACAATGAATTTTACTGCAGAGTATGTGTAAAAAAATTTTTTGCATTCAACTCTTTTTATACATTTTATATATGAAAATAAAAATATATATTTTCATTAAAATATTGATACAATCCTTCATTTACTACACTCCTATTTCAGGTCAAATGTTTATATACAGCAAACGATGCACCATATACCTATATAACTAATTATTTTTCTCTTTCTGCTCTCTCTTACCTAGAGCATTACATATGTAATGATTGTTCAGATTGACTCACATATAAATTTGTAACGGCGAACGCGTGTATAGAAGTATAACTACTACCGGCAGTTCCACTGAACTGCCACACCCGTTTTTTTATGTAAGATAAACAGTCTGATTGGCCAGTACTTAACTATTTCTTATATTTTGCTTATACAGAATCATTTTATGTTATATTACTTAGTATATTTTTACCTTTGTTGTAGTAGCATATTAGTAGACCTGGTCTGAGATTAAATGTCAGGTTGGGGGGACAAATATGCAACACAATTAACTTGATGCGTTTGTTTTTGAATGCTAAACAGTACTAATTTGGTAGAAAACACATCACATACAAATATCTGGAATAACGTAGGTTTCTGACCCTATTAAAGGAATACTAGCACCTTTTTTGTAATATTGTTAAAAGCAATTGCTTTATACCCTAGCACCCTTAACAAAGTTACTTTAATGTGTTTCACCAACTGAATAACTGGCAAATAGTATCAGATTGATAGTAACTCATGAGACTATACAGCAATATGGATTTAGAAAAAAATATTTTACGATATTTTATTAAAAACATCACATATTAATATCTGAAATATCTGCATTTATCAAATAGGTATCTAGTTGGGAATAAATCTGTGTATATATGTGTTATTTTTTTATAGTTTTGTTTAATGTTGATAGTGACAAATTCCGCCAGCACTTTACTGTTCATTGACGTTATCTCTTGTTTCAAGGATACTTTTGGAAACTACTTATTGCTTTGTGCTTTTTTACTGTTAGTTCATTTTTAACTATATATAATGGTGACATACGATTTTAATTATGATTTTAATGTAGATTTAATTCTCCACGTGCCAGATTTATTTTATGAATACTTTTTTATGGTGTTCTTATCAGGAGGTTTTTTCAAATCTATAAATCGAGTATTTATTATATCTTTGTGCATGTTCAGTTGAGACATTGTTATTAAAATTATTGACCAGTACAAGGATGTTTCGAATATTAAACTTTTATTGTTTAATAATAATATAGTTTCATATTTCACACAGTTATTACAACGATATTCCAAATTAGAAATTCCTTCGTCGATGGATATTATGTAAGTCCTCGAGAAACTGGATGGCCAAACCATTTTGTAAATTTGAAAGTTAAATCTGGGAAAGAGCGATTGAAAGCTCAATATTCAATTCATGAATTTTGGCCATTGTAATCGCATATTTGTGGATATTATGCCTTATGCTGATAGAATATCACTTTCTATTTTACCATAAGGCATTGTTTGGTTTTACTCATCATTTATTTTATCTCAATTTTGTGTCATTGAAAAAAATGTTTCGTTTACGCATCAGTGGGGATTTATGCGTTAATTCAAATCAGTTGTGTTCAACTGTCAAATCAAAGTCTATTAAAAAGTTAGTTTTTATTAAATTATATATTAGTTGTTAAAAACATTAATAAGCGAGTATTATATGTTTTTCATGTGCAAGAAAATAATCTATGTTACAACATTTTGTCTTCTGCTTATGGTGCCCTATCCAATTACTGGATGTTGGCGACAATTCTGGCATACTCCTCTCGATCTTGTGTGGCTCTAAAGAGTGCATGGGCATCGAGGTTTGTCCAATCCCTTATGTTTTTAAGCCATGAGTATTTCTTTCTTCCGATGCCCCGTTTCCTTCTATCTTCCCTTCAATAATAAGCTTTAAGAACTGGTACTTGGAATTTCGAAATATATGACCCAGTTTTTCTTCTTTTTATTATTGGCAGCAATTCTCGTTCTTTACCCGTTCAATTTCATACTTCGATATTTCGACTAAACACCCACATTTCAAAGGCCTATAGTCGGTTCATCACTTTGGCCTTTATGGTCCAGGTTTCTACATCATATAGCAGTATGGAGTAAATGTAACATTTTACAAAGCGATATCGAAGCGTTAAGTTAAGGCTGGTGTTGCTTAGCGAGGTTGTCATATTAGTAAATGCTGTTCTGGCTTGCTCAATCCTGCTCTATGTCTGGATTTAGATCTTCAGTTATCCAACGACCGAGAGATCTAAACTTGGGGACCTTTTGGATGTTCTTATTGTTATATTTATTTGCTTATTTCGTGTTCTACTAACCAATAGTACCTTCGTCTTGTCTATATTAATCTTCAAGCCCAGTCGTTCTCCTTCAGTGTTTATTGTATCTATTAGTCGTTGTAGCGATTCTTGGCTATCAGCTATTATGACTGTATCATCAGCATAGCGAAGATTACTAATAGTCTGTCCGTTGATTTTGATTCCATCTTCAGAGTTACTTAAGGCTCTATCGAAAATCGTTTCAGAGTAAAGATTAAAAAGGATGGGTGACAGAACAGAACCCTGTCGTACACCGTTTTCGATTGAGAAATATTAGATTGCAGTTCTACTCTCACATATGCCACTTCTTTATGATTTTAAGACCATTCTTATCTATTGAACGTTCCTGGTAATTCTGGTAAACTTTCTGATAATCTATAAAGCATAGGAAGTGCTTTGCTCTTGTGCCAGATCCTTGTCTGAAACCGAACTGTGTGGCGCTAATGTATCTTTCACATCTATTGTATATTCTTGTGTGAATTATCTGTAAGAAGAGTTTTAGGACCTGGCTCAATAAGCTGATCATTCGGAATTGGTCGCAACAATTAGCGTTTGGCATTTTTGTGATTGGTATAAAGGTTGATTGAAGCCAGTCCTGTGGTATTTGACCAGACCCATAAATGTCATTGAAAATATCTACCAAGGCGTCTATATTGTCTTCACTCAACATTGTTAGAACCTCTATGTATATGTCGTCAGGGCTTGGGGCTTTTCCCTGTCTGTTTGAGTGCCCTTACAACTTCTGACTTCAATATTTTGGGGGAGGGTTCACTTTTATATTTACGTTCAGAGTTTCTTCTAGTGTTGTGTGAGTATAGTTGCTGTGTGTAGCTTCTCCAATGTTGAAGTAGATCCTTGGGATCAGTAATTAATTTATTGTCCTTCACAATACTGTTAAAACTGCAAGGTTTTGTATGACCTGTCACTTCTTTAACGAGTTTATGTATGTCTCCATTTCTGCACACCTGTCTAGTAGCCACTGTTCTTTAGCTTTGCGACACTGTTTTCGTATTTGTCGGTTAATCTGCTGATGTTTGGTTCGGTCTTTGTTTCTAAATGATCTGCGGTTGTCTATCATTGATAATATTTCGTCAGTCATCAAATTCTTCATTTTCTACTTTTGGGAAGCGATCAGAGACTTCGTGGTGGTTACGATAGTTTTTTTAATACAATTCCATTTATTTTCTATACTGGCCGGTTGTTTAGATCTTGCCGTGATATCCGCTATTGCCTCATTTAATTTTTCTGTGACTTTTAGTTTAACGTTAGGTTATTTTAAGCTGTTTATATAAATTTTCTTTATGGATTTTCTTTTAATTTTCAATTTTTCTACTACGAGATTGTGATCAGATCCGATATCTGTTCCAGGGTACGTTTTTACTCTTTGCAATCCATTTCTGAATCTCTGATTAATCAATAAAAAATCAATTTGATTTCTTACGATGTTGTCATGCGTATGGTGTAGAGACTGCCAGGTGTAGACTCTCCGAGGTGGCAGTTTGTACCAGGTATTCGCAATGACTAATTTTTCTTCTTGACAGAACTGGATTAGCATTTTGTCGTTTAACATTATTTAATCAGTCACTTAGATATTACATGTAGGTTAACATAAATTTACAGCAACATCATATTGGGAGCTGCTTTACTATATTGTGTATGTGAAAAAAATATCACAATTTCCGTACTTTTATTAAATAGTAAATGTTCTTCTTTTTATGTGCTTCTGTTTATAATTTTAAATAAGACACTGGAATATTAGTATTTATTAAAACAAAAAATCAAGAACCGGTAAAGAAACGTTAAAAATATATTTTTGTAAGTAGGTAATAATATATTGTTTTTTACAGGTCCGCGGCATTCTTAATAAACTCACCCCAGAGAAATTCAAGAAGCTGAGCGATGATTTATTGCGCATCGAACTACAGTCCAACGTTATCTTGAAGGGTGTCATTTTTCTCATATTCGAGAAGGCCCTCGACGAACCGAAATACTCGTCTATGTATGCGCAGTTGTGCAAGCGACTGTCAGAAGAGGCACCTAATTTCGAATCCCCCGATCAGCCCACTTCCTTTAGAGTTCTTTTACTTAATAAGTGCAAGGTAAGAAATACTTAGAAATATCCTTAGAATAAAAGTTCATTATAAAGTTTATATAAAAGCACCTTGCATCGGTAACGTATAAACTCCTCTAGCTTTTCTTGTTCACAGGAACTATTATCCTTAACTGCCCAATGATTTTGAGGTGGTTCTTGAGAAATAGAGTTCAGTGACCATATATTTATATATGCCCTAATATTTATCTGTGATTCATTAATTTAATCATAAGAAAATATGTATATTAAAAAGAAGAAAGACCTTAGACTCCCTTTGCCTATATGGTAAATAATACTAATGGCTTATTTACATCTATAATATTCTTAGGTATAGTTTTGACGATCTCAAAGCATTATCAAAGTTAGTCAAGAATAATATTGGCCTATTTTCGATCTCTAACATGTAGCATAATATCAATATTATTATATAGTGTGTTCCAATGAAAATTTGATCCCCTCAGAAACCAAGAGTTTCTTTAAGATTAAAAAAAAAGCACGCCAATCTGTATTGGGAGGAGGACGAATTTTCATGCAAAATGCATGCTCTCAAATGTAACCCCCTACTGCTCCGCATCAACCTCCAGTTTTTTTAAATAGCAAGTGTGGTCGACTGGCACATCATTTGAAAGGTATGTTTTACTCTACACGAAACTCAGTTTTTTTTTTAATTTGCGGAATAACTTTGAAGATAATTTTGGATTTAACTAATTTATTGGTTGAACACAGTAATAACAAAAAACATAAAATTTCAACCAGTTAACTGTTCGAAATGACCTCCTGTGACCTCCATATAATTAAACAGTCTATTTTTAAAGCGTCTTAGTACATTTGCAAATACCTCCGGTGTCAATAATCGGCATTATGCCACAATTCTTTGTTGAAACTCTGCAAGATCTGCAGGAGTGGCGTATATTTTTGATTATAGGTATCCCCACAAAATAAAATTCAAACTCGAAAGATCCGGTGATCTGGCCGGCCACTCGATTGGACACTGTGTCAAACCTTGAGAAAGTCAATTCATCCTTTAAAAGATTATTATCAGATTCCAATGAGTCAGTGATCAGCGGATCAATAACGTCTTCTAACAAATTTAAATAAGGTGTTCCGTTGAGATTCCCTTAAAAAAAAAAAATAATAGTCCAATTACGTGATTCCCTAAAATACCAACCCATACATTTAATTTCTGAGGTGTTTGTGTATGTATCTCAACGAATAAATGATGATTACTGTAACACCACATTTCAAAGAACTGTAACTTATTTATGTGTTATTTATATGTTTCAAGTCCATATTGCAGTATCGAAAACACGTAGCATCTCAGTGCTCTTACTCTCAGTTCTAATCTAAGGTCTTTGTTGCAGAGAGTTGTTTTCATTTTTACAAACGCATTTCTTGCTATTTCTACCCTGGCTCTTATTTTCGTTGTTTGATCATTATTGTCTAAAATCCAGGTTCCTAGGTATTTGTATTTATCAACCCTTTATATCGGTACATTTCCCAAATGTATGTTTGTTTTTTAGTCCATATTTTTTAGTTTAGCAGTAATGGGAGTTGTTCAGCAGAGCTTGCAATAATCACGGTGTCATCTGCATATCTTATGTTGTTAATAGATCTTCCGTTAATTATTATTTTTTCACTTTGAGATAGTAATGCTTCTTCAAAAATGGCTTCACTGTATACATTGAATAGTAATGGGGACATAATACATCCCTGCCTGACTTCTCTCCTGATTTCACTTTCTGGACTGGGTTCGTTATCTATTACGATTTGTGCTCTTTGGTTCCAGAAAAAGTTTGTTATTATTCGTAAGTCCCTATGGTCTATGTTTTTTGTTAGAATTTAGACTAATTTTTCATGTCTTACTTTGTCAAATGCTTTTTCAAAATTAACGTAACAAACATACACATCAACATTCATATCAATGGATCTTTGAGCTAACACATTAAAAGCAACTAACGCTTCTCTGGTTTCTAGTCCGTTTGGAGGTCACTAAGAACATTAATTCGTTAATTTGGTGAAATTTGAAGTTTTTCTTGTTATTATTGATATTCAACCAATAAATTAGTTAAAACCAAAATTACCTTTAAAGTTATTACGTAAATTAAAAAACAAATAGAGTGTCGTGTAGGGAAAAAACTTAACTTTCAAATGATGTGCCACTTGACCACACTTGCTATTAAAAAAACTGGGGGTTGATGCGAGGCAGTAGGGGGTTACATTTGAGGGTATGAATTTTGCATAAAAATTCGTCCTCCTCCAAATACAAATTAAACTGTTTTGTTAAATTTTAAAGGAACTCTTGGTTTCTGAGTTTTTAGGGGGGTCAACTGTTCGTTGGAGCACAATGTGTATTAACGCTGGAAAATAATTAAATCATTAAATCAAATGTACAAATAATCTTATTAATAAATCAAGTTAATATTTAGGTAAAAGGTCTTTGTCAATATATTTACATTACCAAATACTATTACTAGTGGTAAATTGTAACAGTTTTTTACGTGAATGAAACAGTCCATATGTCAGATTGCCGAATTCTTAACTATTCTTGTATTTTGCATATAGAGTCACTTATATATTAGCTTTAGCATTAGTGTTTATATATACATTATATATATATATATATATATATATATATATATATATATATATATATGTATATATATAGGATCACTCAGACTCAGATATATATATATATATATATATATATATATATATATATATATATATATAAATATATATATATATAAATATATATATATATATATATATATATATATATATATATATATATATACAGTAAAACCTCCGTTAACCGAAATAATTGGGGGGAAGGCCGTTTCGGATAACAAGAATTTCGGTTAAAAATAACATTGTTTTTTAAAATATTTTTAGCATTTAGTATTCCCATTTAGTAACTCCATAGTATGAGGTGATTTCGTAATGTTTTCTAATAAGTAAATACAGAATAAAGTAATAAAATTAATGAAAATGAACAAGTTTAACATGATTTTTAAAGAAATCTTCTATTTTCTTTTACGTTATGGTTTGACAACGATGTTTTGCAGCTATGAGTGAGTTTGCCCTATTTCATCGTTCGACGAAACGTAAAGCAATCTAAAAAGGACAAAACTTTATACAATGACAACAAAAATTAAGAACCTACTCGTGTCCCTAACTAATTAGGCCTACTGTATAAAATTCTTATCCTTAAGGCATTGAAAATCCGATCGGTGGTCTCATGCTGCCTGTTGTCTGTTGGGTCGTCATCTTCGTCTTCTGATACGCTCAGGTTGTCTGGATGAAGAACCATATCAATGATGACCTGGTCGTTGAATTCACTTTCTGAGTCATCGTCTGCTAACCACTCACGTATCTCTTCTTAGTTAATTTTGTCACACCCCGGCAAATTTTTTATTGCAGGTTTAATGTCTTCTGTCGTTTCTTTACCAGTTTCTTCTTCAGGATCGTCAATCAAAATCCTATCAAAAAGTTAGTTCCAGCATTTTTCGAAAGTTGAAGATTTGATCTTGGCCCAGAACTCAGCACACCGATAAACAACATGTTTCATTGTTAAACAATTGAGGATTTCAGGAACACTTTTGGATTCATTCGTCTCCTGTAATAACAGATGTCTTAAGAATGCTCCTCTATAATGTCTCTCGAAGGTCTCTATTACTCCCTAGTCTAACAGCTGAATTAAGCTCGTGACACTCGGTGACAAAATCTGACAATTATCACTATTGCATAGATTTTGAGGGTGAGTTGGCGCATTGTCAACAAGCAACAATGCTTTTATAGGATGGTTTGTTTATTTTAAAAAGGATTTTACACTTGGGACGAATTCATTTTCGAACCATTCTGAAAATAAACTGGTCGACATCCATGAGTTTTTTTGGCTTCTATAAAAAACTTAAAGTGCTTTTTCTCAAATATATTTTAGAGCTCTTGGTTGTTTTGTGTTCCCAACACACATAGGCATCAATCAGTAAGTGAAATTAATGGAATTGTTTACATTTTGCTATAAAATATTACTTTTTATTGACGAAATTATTGAAACTGTCAGCCGTTTCGGTTAAACGATGTTTCGGTTAAACGATGTTTCGGTTAAACGATGTTTCGGTTAAACGATGTTTCGGTTAAACGATGTTTCGGTTTAAACGATGTTTCGGTTAAACGATGTTTCGGTTAAACGATGTTTCGGTTAAACGATGTTTCGGTTAAACGATGTTTCGGTTAAACGATGTTTCGGTTAAACGATGTTTCGGTTAAACGATGTTTCGGTTAAACGATGTTTCGGTTAAAAAGATTTCGGTTAAGGGAGGTTTTACTGTATATACATGTATATACATGTATATATATATATATATATATATATATATATATATATATATATATATATATATATATAGATTATTTTTGCCTTTGTTTTAGTAGCATATTAGTAGACCTGTTCTGAGATTTAATGTCAGGCTGGGGGGACAAATATGCAACACAAATAGCTTGGTGTGTTCGTTTTTGAATGCTAAATAGTGATAATTTGGCAGAAAACACATCACATACAAATATCCAAATCGATTTAGCTGTGTTGAGCTCCATTACTCAACGATTCTATTCAATTTAGAAGTTAGTTAAGTTTTCAATTACAGGTGATAATTTACTCAATTTTTTTTACTTCGTTGCTATATTCGTATTAATTTAAGTTATCTTGAAGTTCATTTCAACGATGGTTGCTGCATTTGACCCAAGATTTTTAATATTTGCTTTTTCACACTGTAAAGGCTCTGATTAACCTTATTCTTCTGAATTGATTTCTATAAGTGCTTGTTCAAAATATTTCTGCAGATCCCTGATTTTTTGTCCTATTTTTAATTGCTGCAAAACCTTTCACTAGAGCCCATATAAGTTCATTGTGATTTAGCTGTTTAGTTTGCAGTGGTAGGAAGGAAGCACTCGAATATTGACTTTTATTGCCATTTCCTCGAATATCATTGATTCGCAATTGACAGAAGCTCTTCTTTCGCCATATTGCTTTAAAACACTACTTGTTTCTTCGAGAGCCACTAAAGTATTTGTCATTCCAGGTGTTTGTAGACAATTTTTCAGGTCTTCAGAATGGTACTGTCCAAAACATTGACATCTGTTGAAATTAGCTCTATCATTTGCTCAAAGTATTCCTCTAAAACACCAGCGTTCGTGACAATTGCCGGTGTGAATTGACTGAAATATTACAAAGCATTGTCCATGACAATTACACTGTCACGGCAATTTTGGGTGAAGAGTATATTTAAACTAAGACTTTTTTAGCAGATATCAATAGTGCGTCGTTCATCCATCCGTTTTCTCCAACGCTGTGTAAAATAATAATTCTTTTATCTTTATTAGATGGTAATACAAATAAACATTTTTATTGTTGTTTATCCAGCTTTTTTTACGGTATTATGCGTATCCCTCCATCTTTCATCTCAATATATATAATGTTTCTTGTTTTTCTATACTCCAATATATTTCGAATCTACTTGTTTCGCAAAGAAATTATTCTACTGGTTTCCATGAGTGTTTGGTGTTTTATAGTCCTACACTTAAAATTATTAGCTTTAGGACACGAAGGGGTGTTGTTGAACAAAAAACTGTATCTTTTCGAATTAGTTCTTGTCAAAGAGTTTCAGTCATGGAAAATGTTGGCTGCACACATTTTGTATATTGTTGTCCTTTTCTCTATCTTATTATATTTTTTATATTCTATTACTTGCCAGTATCTTTTCATGTTTTCTTTGGCACTTTTATTAAAAAAACAAATTCTGTAATGGCCTCGAATTTATTAAGGTCAGAGCACAGTCCTTTATATACATTTTTCAATATACCTTTGGCTTCGTTAGAGAGATATTTAATATTTCGCTTGCGTTCCACATAGTCTCCCTGTAAATCTTCTAATTGATAAGAATCTTCTTCTATTGGTCCTTCAACCCCATGCTCAGAATTATTCTCTCCCAAGCACGCCACATTTTAATAGTATCTAACTATGTAATTCTTTAATTAAAGAATTTTCACTACAAGCACACGCAACTTAATCTACATTATTTCTTGTGTACAACTGTGTGCGGTGATAAGTAACAATATAAAAAGTTGGTATGTCTATGGCTCCCAAACTTTCTAATTCGGGTAAAGTGATTAGCAGATTAAAAATTGTTCTTTCTTAGTAAATCGTCGTCTATACCAAAAAATATGTTCATACAAGTTATTGCGAGTGCAAGTCCTGACTTTTATATTTCCATTCATCGTTGTTATCGGTAATAGGTAACGGTACTCAGGAATGAGAAGCCTAAATAACGTCTGCACCTTCTCACCGGGATTCCGTTTGTACTGTACATATCTCATGTACAGAACTGAGAAGAAAATTGAACTGTTAATGTAAAAATATCTATTGTCGATAGGTAGGTCCTCATAGCTCGCCATTCAGAAAAAAATACAGATTTTGAAACGGGTGTAGACTTCTGACATAAAATTATGGGACTGTATAATAAAAAGAAAACCAAGTAATATTGTAGGTGCTCCAACAATTACATAGCGTAAGTCGCTAGCAACAGAGGCGAAAAGAGGCTCTACAAATATTCCAACCTTAAAGACCTACAAACATTCCAACCTTAAAGACTTCCAGATTCTTGACAATCAACCTCAAATCCAAAGGCTCAAAATTAATAAATTGTTTGAGCTAGTGTAATGAGCCAAAGATAGTGCTGTGCATTGTAGCTACACCGAAGAAGTTAGAGTGAGCATTTTAAACCACAAAAAAAAACTAGGATCTACCTACACAAACTTTTAGGAATTTTAGGTTAAAGAAAAAAGCTTATTATTCTTGTAGATTGTAGATTAGGTGAAATCACTTTTTTCAATAAAAAATCCTATGCGTGAATAACATTTCTGGAGTTTATTCGTATTGTATAATACCTCTTCATCCGGGTATGTTTGTCATTGTTCAATAAAGCAAGTATATATTACTTTTTTCAACATTTGTTATTTTTTGTTGCAGCTTGAATTCGAAAACAGAGCCGCTGCCCTCGAATATAATGGAGCTTCTTTCAACTTTGGCGGCTCCGACGAGGAGGACGAGAGACGGCAAATCGCGAAACGCAAAATGCTCGGCAACATCAAATTCATCGGCGAATTGGGAAAACTGGAAATACTATCGGAAAACATTCTACACCTATGCATCAAGGAATTGTTGGTTAGACGTGGCGACGACTTCTGCGAGGACCTGGAATGCCTCTGTCAGATTTTACGGACCTGCGGCCGCATCTTGGACACCGACAAGGGTAAAAACCTCATGAACCAATACTTCGAAAGAATGAGAATGTTTGCAGAAAACCAAGATTTACAACCAAGAATCAGATTCATGTTGAAAGACGTGATTGATTTAAGAGATAATGGATGGGTGCCGCGAAAGGCAATCGTCGTTGAAGGTCCGATGCCCATCAACCAGATCAAACCCGTGGACGACGATCGTCCTGTAGCTTTCAGAAGAGACCGAAATCACGACCGAGACAATGATAGATCTAATATTTCGGACTTGTTCCGTCATCCTATGAAGACCAGAAGTGGTCTTGACGATATGCTTATGGGTGAGTTGTTTCATATAATTCGTTTCACAAATATTGTGCTTTACTGAGAGTTCCTTTGGATAGAATAATTCTCGGTATTTATAAGTACATGATGTCATTTTACCCAATATATGATTTGCCTTGGGATGGGAACTTTCAATGAATTGAAAGTTCCCATCCCAAGGATTTCTATATTTCCCCGTGTACTCGACACCATGCTTGGAATAATTTATTTACGTGTATTATTGGATCTGAAATACTAAGTTATCTCGACTTATCAGTTTAATTCGTTTCGTAACCTTGCTCGTATCTCAAAGCAATTTTTTCCATTTAAATTGATTAAAATGCTATTAATCTGATCCAGCTCCCAAATTACCATCTCAGTTTTCGTACCTGTCTTCGCTTTTTTCGTCATGATTTGCTCTTTTTCACCTGCAGACCTCCCTTTCAGGATATTGCGGAAATGAGTTAGGCAAGTTTCGTTGAACAACTCCGATGCATGATGAGTTGCAACTTTTTCGGGGTGATTTTTAACCATGAACTCTACAACTTTCTACCACATTCCCAAGATCTCCTTTATATCTCTTGTAGAAATCTCTCTCTCTTTCTCTCTGGCTGCACTTCACATGTAGATCATGTAACTCATCGGTTGTCAGCTCCTGAAACTTCCTCGATGAGTTCGCTCACATCTCTCTCATCCACCTCCAGACCAATCGATTTTTCTTTACCACTGACACTTCCAATTCTTCGAAAACCATTTCAGTTACAGCTTCTATGCAGAGGTTAAGTTCCTCGTTTTAACAGCCAGCCAGGCCTGATCAATAATTCTGAGACATATCATGATGTCTGAAAGTGGTCCTTCCAGAACTCTTAAAGGGTAAGATTTGTGTTCTCCGTCACCTCAAACCAGCGCCAAAAAATATGCTTGGTGTACAACTTCTTAAAATTAGAAATTACCTGCTGATCCATGGGCTGCATAGTAGTGGCGTTGAATGGTAGGTAGAAAACCTTATAAACTTGAACTCTTCGAGTAAATCATCTTACCCTCCACATAACTTGCAGTTGAAGATTTGCTGAGGGATGTATCATTTGGCTTTTATCCGTTCGGAAAACGTTTTCATGTAAACCTTAGCTGTCTTCACATCCGAACTTGCTGCCTCGCCATATCTGACGACCGAGTGAATGCCGGTTTTTTTTCCCAAAGTTTTTAAATCAGTTTGTGGAAGAGTGTGGGATGTTCTTCAGCAAATCTCCTGTGCCTTCTTAGTAATGATGGTTTATGTTAAGGTTCCTGCTTGAAGCTGTTTATCTATCACCCATACCATAAGTAGTTTCTCGATCTTTTTACGGAGAGAGGTTCGGAGCTTAGAAATTATTCAATAGACATCATCTTCTTCGGACCCATGGAAAAGCAAAACACGCGAACCTAACTTATCAAAAATGTTTCGCTATTCTTGTATGCTGCATATACAGAGTCACTTATGTACATATTTACCTTTGTTATAGTAGCATATTAGTAGACCTGACCTGAGATTTAATGTCAAGTTGGGGGGACAAATATGCAACACAAATAGCTTGGTGTGTTTGTTTTTGAATGCTAAATAGTAATAATTTGGCAGAAAACACATCACATACAAATATTCAATGCAATTTAGCTGTGTTGAGATCCATTACTCAACGATTCTATTCAATTCAAAAATGTACGTCCAATCAAATCAAAGCTTGCAATCAAAGCCAATTGCATGGAATAGTTTTCAATTAGTTTTCAATTACAGGTAATTTTTTTTTATTTATTTTAAGTTGCTATATTCGTATTAATTTAACTTGTCTTGTGGTTCATTTTAATAATGGTTGCTGAATTTGATCCAAGCTTTTTTCAGTGTGGATTAGTTGTTTAGTTTGCAGTGGTAGGAAGGAAGTACTGGAGTATTCACTTTTATTGTCATTTCCTCGCATTGATTCGCAATTGACAGAAGCTCTTCTTTCACCATATTGCTTTAAAACACTACTTATTTCTCCGAAAGCCACTGAAGTATTTGTCATTCCAGGTGTTTGTAGATAATTTTTCAGGTCTTGTGTTCTCCATCACCTCAAGGCAGCGCCCAAAAATGTGCTTGATGTACAACTTCTTAAAATTAAAAATTACCTGCTGATCCATTGGCTGCAGGATAGAAGTGGCGTTGAATGGTAGGTAGTGAACCTTATAAACTTGAACTCTTTGAGTAAATCATCTTCGAGTTTTGGTGGGTGCGCAGGGCATTGTCGAGGACGAGAAGGGCTTGCATGAGTAGGTTGTTTCGCTGTAGATATTTTTTAACAAAAGGGCCAAACACTTGCTCTCCACATAACTTGCAGTTGAAGATTTGCTGAGGGATGTATCCTTTGGCCCTTATACTAGTTCGAAAAACGTTTTGATGTAAACCTTAACTATCTTCACATCCGAATATGCTGCCTCACCATGTCTTACTTCGGTCTGACTGATTTCATTCAGCAGATCGCCTGTGCCTTCTCACTAATGATCATTTATGTTAGGTTCCTGCTTGAAACTGTTTATCACCCATACCATCATCAGTAGTTTCTCGACCTTTTCACGGAAGGAGGTCCGGAGCTTAGAAATTATTCTATCTTCTTCTTCGGATCCATGGATATAAAAATAAATATGAAAATGTTTTGTAAATGACTGTACAAAAAGCAAAACACGTGAACCTATCTTATCAAAAATGTTTCGAAAACGAGTGAAACAAGCACATAGCTAAGCTCGTGAGGTCCAGACTGAGGTGAGAGATTTGTAGTGTGCGATTCCTCGTATCATAATTCTTGCTCTCATCTCAAAGCGAAATATCGTTCGCTCGGCGGCTCGTATCTCGAACCACTCGTATATCAGGACATTCGAATATCGAGGTACAACTGTGTGCTTGAAATCTCAAATTTTTGTTTTATTTAATGAATACTAGACAGATAGAGACATATCGCTAAAAAAATCATCATCAGACAAAAACACATTTTGTCTATTTGGTAAGCGATTAACTAATAACTTTCTCTCAGTACTAAATAGCTTATACACATAATATTATACATACACAGGCCATGAGTACACGACAGAGGCCTGCTACTAAGCTTGGACATATATTTAAATTTTTGGAGTAATTTCATCAAATATCAACACTGATATCTGAGCATCTATGCAAAAAGGCAAAGAAATAAAATTATAATTATACATAATAGTTTCTAAAATGCCAATAACACGATGCCTGAAGAAAATTGAAAACTGGGACTGGGAAAACTTAGTATTAGAATATTCTTAATATGTTCTATCGATGCCCTTGTACTCTGTATCTCATGAGAAAATGAACAATATTATGTCTCTGTAACGTTTTTTTTATTCATTATTTTACTTTGTGCAGGTATAAGTTTGTCTCCTTCCGCTCCATCCCTCATACCCACTGTTCCACCGTTTGGGGCGCACAACGGATTCAGCAGCCAAAGGGATGGAAGTTACAGGGGGCACAACAACCAACGCAGTGGCGCGTACAATTATAACAACCAGAGGGGGCAGTACAAGCACAATCAGAATAACTCCAACTCACAATTTAACCGTAAGTATTTCTTCTTCCTTTCGTATTACTCCAATAATAACATATTTTTTTATTCAGAATCGAACAAGGACCTAGCTCCGCGTTTTAAGAAGAGCAATTTGATAGTCGGCAAAGAGGAAATGGCAGATGTTGAATTGAGACCAAACTCGATGTTGATAACGAAGGCTTCTTCGTTGAAAAGTAACAACATGATGAACAATAACAAGACAATGGAACCTAACTTTGCACCTTCTACAATTAAACAACCCCCATCGACATTGCTCAAAGACCCTCTACCTATTAAGCAGGTGCCAGCTGAAAAACCTAAACAATCCAAAAAAGACAAAGTAAGTAATTTGGCAAAATGGGGTATAATTTCTTCTTTGGTTACTTTTATCTAAAGTGCTTTAAACATTTTAAATTGACTGTGATTTAAAAATAAAACATCAGAAGCAACAGGTAAAATGTATAAATCACTATTTATTTTTTAGTATCCTCTTTATGGAGGCATTTCTATTACTATTCTAAACTTTTGTTATCGGTTCATGATTGACAATTAGTTGTATAGCGCCGAGGTCTTGTTTACTAACCACAAGTAACTTTGTCTTTGTTTTATTTATGCTTATTATGTTGTTAGAGCATTTTCTAGTGACTCGATCTATAAGGAATTGAAGATCTTCAATACTTTCAGCCATGATCGCGGTGTCATCTGCATATCTGATGTTGTTAATAGTTTCTTCCCCGATTCCAACTCCACATTGTCCTTCCAAGGATCCAAACAATCATAAATTAGTTTGAATTAACTCATGAACTTCATTATGCAATTTCGCTAACAATATTTTATTTTTAGGGCCCCAACAAAGAGGAAGTTCTTAAGAAATTTAATACTTTAATAGAGGAATTTTGGAAAGGTGAAGTAGATCTTAAGCAAGCGATTAATTCTTACAAAGAGCACAAAGTTCCCGATAAGTTTGCCAAAGAGATGGTACTGAGTGGTTTGTCTAATGCTTTAGAGAAATCTGGTAAGTATGTTATATAATTAAATAATAAACATATACACATTAAAATAATTATTGGATAGGTTTTGGGAAAAATTAGAAAAACAATAGATCTAACAGCTAAAACAATAGTTTAAAGTAATGCCAGTCATTAACATTACATTAAAAGGTAAAACAAATATTTTATATCGAAAGTAATCCGTAAACGGGTAAATAAAATTGTGTAATTTGTAGACCTAAATTCAAAGATTTTGCAAGCAACTATAATTTACAGTAAATCTAGAATTTCTACTCCTCTCTATCGAATGGCTCTACAGTTTAAGTCGGTCCCTGGTTTTCCCCTGCATCTGCCTCCTAGTATCATTTTCCTTGGTTGCTCTGCTCCAGTTATCCACTCTCAATATCTCATCAACATCGGTTCCTTCTTCTGTCACACCATAGTTTCACTAAGTGTTGTTATTATCCATCCTTATAAAATGGATTCTACTCCACCAAAATCAATTCCATATTGCATTATTGTCAAAGCTTAAACTTAGGGTTTTATGCAACTTTTAAAAACCTATTGTTTTTAACAAATCATTTAGGCCAGATCTATAGAGAACCACCCATATTATTGAGAACAAATGAAGGGTACAGGTCCATAAAGAGCTAAGTCACCAAATGTTTATTTCGTACAAAACAAAGTTTAAATTTTAAAACCACTTATTGATAAATTATTGATGGTTATCATGACCTCTATTGATTAGATCAGTTACTTAAGTAATTAATGAAACACAGAAGAAATTAAATTTATATTGATATTATAAAAAATAGAACAGAAGCTTTAATTGGTCAAACCACCAAACATTATTGGCCTAAAGGGGCCAAGTCCAAAAAAAAAAAACAAGTTAAAATGACAAGTAGACAAAAGTTATTAATATGAAATAATTCTAATTCTTAGGCAGGTTATCAAAAAATTGTTTTGCTTCGTCACCACAGAATCGTTTCAAATCTTGTAGGCATTTAAATTTTTTAGCCGAGATTGGTAAAAGACCTAAAAATAATATTGTTTAATAATAGTATTCCAAGATATTAATAATTTTTTATACCTCAATAAGAAAACGGAGGAAGTTCAAATTCATTTTGTAGTAGCACTGGTCCCTTTCGCTTACTATCTTTTTCCTTCACTATTGCTGATTCCCATGCTCCATTATAGGACTCCCGGTAATATATCAATCTACGATGATCTTGATGTATTTCTAATTCTCGAATTGGACGGGAACTGAAAGGACATTTCTTCAAATAATCTGTTTTCGTATTAAAAAAATTCGTCCATGCTCGAAAGTAGGATTAATCTATTTCCACAACGTCAAAGGGCGATGGTTTTGCACGAGCACTTCTAAAAATTTCAACCCAATATAAAGGAATCTCAGCTCATTGTTTGGAGTTTATTAAGCCCAAATTTTTATCCGGTTCCATATAGGAATGGCCACGAATAGGGAAAGTAACTTTAACATAATCAAGTCTACGTGTATTGTGGACAATATAATGCAAAAAACGAAACATGGTGAAATTTTTATTTTGTCCCCCACACGAGTCGCAGAATATTTCAAACGATCTTACTTGTATATCGAGAAAATTCCAAAGAAAGTCATTCAGCATTGAGCATACATCGTCGCTTCCCTTTTTGCCAATTGTTTCCGGGTAAATGTAAAACACACTTTTTGCTGTAGATAGAATGTGGACATTAAAGGCATAGATGTTCAGCTGGCTCTTATAGTAAACATCGTTTGTTGTTATGTTTGGGACACTGAGACAAAATTGAGACAAATAGCTTCGTGAGTCACAGAGGTTCGAGTTTTTTTCTTCGCAGCTCTTTTTCTACTGTAAAATACCTCAGCCTTTCTTTTGTGTACATCATTTTGTATCGTAAGCTGGCGTATTTCCTTTTGCAAGCGTTCATTTTCAGCAAGATCGAAACTACTGTTTAAAATATCAGACTGAAGAGATTTTATTTTTATAAGAAACTCATCACATGAACTACATGTATCAGTTCTGGGATATCCAAAAGCTATGTTAAATTTTGTATTAAAGACTGTTCTGTAAGACTCGTAAGATATTTTCATAGAAGGGTTCAACTCGCAAAACATTTTGAACATCTTTTTTATGTTTAACTCTTCAGGTAAGTATAATTTTTTACTATCATTCACACTATAGTGGGTTTTCCTGCCTTTAAATGACTTTATATGTTCGTATATTGCTACAAGAACGTTGGATTCCAATTTTCTAGGATGGTCCTTATTTTCTCCCCTTTTATCTTTAGGGGCGACTCCAGTCATTTTTAGTGAATTTTGTAATATCTCTATTTTTTTTCTTTCTTCCATGAATAGACATAAAAGCTTGTTTACAAATATTTATTTCTTTTAAGCTATTATCAGTGCTAAAACGTACCCTGTAAGAATATGCAGCACTTCTCAAATTTGCTTCGTTTTCATCTTTCCTAGGCCTTCTTCGGCGAATAGGCAGTACTGTAATCAATCTACATAAGTATGAGTTCTGCTCATTAATAGAAGTCATTGTGTTAAAATTTTTGAGTACAGTTTTTCTTGCTTCTTCGGGCACATTTTGAAAACATTGTTTACGACAATTACAGGTTGCACCTACCTCGTGACTCTGCAGTCTAATTTTTTTCATGACATCTCTCATTCTGCCGTGCTTTTCCTTTTTTTTTGATTCATTCTGTTTAGGCATTACTTCAGTCTCATTTCCACTACTATTGTTTTCTGTATTCATTGTTATTTACTTTTAAATCACTTAAAAAACAATGAAAACAAACTAAACCGACGAACCTAACTCTAAACTGCGCGTATTAGATTAACGTCTATTAGCTGTTTATATGGACTTTACTCTTTTAGGACCTGCCTGATAAGGACTTGTCCCCTATTGGTGGTGTATGCGTAAATTAGAATTAGTATTTCACGGGAACTAAGCGCTTTTAGGACGTGTAACCAGTCGCTGACCACTTCTACGTTAAAATTGCTACAAGATGGCACCACTAGATCTATTTATGAAAAATTGCGACTTGCCCCCTTTTGGCCCTGTACCCTTCAAATGAAATTATATGTAATACACATCTATTTACATATATATGTGCTTCATTCAACTTCCTTCATTACATAAAGTAATTCAATGTATATTTTAATCTTACCTAATGAACTGAAAAACCACATTCACAAAGCAGTGGCTCAATTTTTTGGAAATTATTTCAAATCCCTTCAGTCAAGGAAGAGACTTTAATGTGCACAATGTTTCATGCTGGTATGAGATTGATTCTAACTGCAAACTGTTATTGGATGCTATGGATGAACTTAATATATGTAAATGATAGTGCTCCATCCCTTATGCCGTTACCCTTTCATGCACTACCATCCATATTAGACCTCACAATATGCACTTGGTTGGAGTATTCTTCACGGCAAATTTACCAATAATCTTTTCAACTGAATCATGCAAGAGAAAATGATTCTAATTATACAAATAAAATTTGGAATTGTAGTAGGGCAGGTTGGAATTGTATATTCTCTTTCTATACTTGTCAGGAAACTAAAAATCAAAATCAGCTTATAACAAATATAAATAAAATTCTATATTAAATATCTCAATGTAATGTAAAAGATTGGATTCATTGGCGAACAAAAATTTTACTAAAAATTAAAGAAAAACGAGGGAATATTCTGGTATTCTTCATAACAAAATTCTATATGGTTCTATATGCCAATTCATAACCTACATTTAATGTTGCCAGAAATAAGCTTCAACTATAATGTCTTTTTCACCTATGAGATATAGGTAGAGCGCTTAAACAAAATATTAACACTGCCCCAGGTGTTATGATCTCTAATTTTCCAGTAAAAACTACCCCCTTAATGTGGTAAATAAGCTTTTTACAATGGAATTACAATTTCAGAGATCATAAAAAATATTTTATAATACTTATTATGAAACCTGGAAATGATATGATGGGCATAACTCGTATCACCCAAATCATCTTAAACTGCAACTTTAAAACATACCAGTGTGAGACACTGTTATATTCCATAGCTAAATAGAGATAACTAGATAAAATATTGATCTTGATAGAAGTCATGAAGATCAGTACAGTTACGGCAATAAAATGTTTTAATGTTCTGCATGAGAATATCAGAACCTTGTCTGAAAAAGAATTTGAAAATAAAATTAAAATAATTTTGATAAAAAATTCCTTTTATACAATTGTGGTTTTGTACATATTTGATGTGTGTGAGATTTTATAATTTTAACATGAATAAATAGTAATGAGATTCCTCCATTCTGTCAAGTCCCTCTCAGCATTCCCACACTTGCCTAGAGTCCACTTTAGGGCTTATAAGAACCCCCATGGCTGCTTGGATATGTATGCATAGATTGATCCGCTTCAGTTCAAACTCCCCTATGTTATTTTTTTCATGCATCTTTAGAACATACTCATGTGACACTGTTACATTCCGCAAGTCTACTTTATGACTTCTAAGATTCAAGGCAAGCAAGCCTTTACACCTTGCTTAGTTTCGAGTATGCTCTTTGGCCACCATACCACTATTGCATAATATGTAATTGTTGATTTTATCACTATGAAGAAATCCAATATAACATGTCTGGTTTTAAACCACATAATATATTTCCATGAGTGGGTCTGGCGATCATTAACATAGTTACTGCTCTATTGATTATTTGTTCTATTTGCTTATTCCGAGTAAGCCTGGAATCTAATATTGCCTCAAGATACTTTACTTCATTCAACAGATTTAGATGTGTACAATTTTGGCTTAGAAGACCCCAATCTTTGTAAATTCATCCTTCTGGTAAATTTTAGGATCTTGGATATCCGAGAGCCCTCATTTGAAGTCTATGATGTAACTACAATCAGAGCCTTATATTCTATCTCTGACTGTGCCATGCTATCCCTCTTTACTGAGCCCATCGATGACCAGATTTCACAAAAGGGGTGGTAAGACCCCCTGTGCACAGCCTCTGGCTGCTTGTGCTGACACTGTGTCCCCCAGTTACCATAACTATTTCACACGACTCCTCAGTAGAAGTCTGTCCCATCAGTTTGTTTTGTTTATTCCTTTTAGATGAATCACCCATGTGATTGTTTCATAGGTGTTGTCGAATGCTTCCTCTATATCGAGAAATGCACCCAACATCACTTTTGGTGTTCCAATGTACTCCATCCTCTGTATGAGATGGTACAGTGCCATTTCCATAGAGCCCTGTTCGATACACATATTGTCCCTAACCAATACACTATCTCTAATATGCCCAGCGGACATTTTTTTACAGTCTTCAGGATAAATGACATTAAGACCTATCAGCTTCAGGGATTATCTTTTTCCGGTCTGGTTTTCCCAGGTTTGCCAGTCCTAAGCTAGCCTGTAGTATCATACATATTTTTTTGTACATGTCATAGCCCTTCCAGAACCCGGTGACTTATATGGCTTAAATGAGATTATAGCCCATTTGATTTTGTCCTGGTTTTTCACCTCTTTTGCCACATGTCAGTTCTAACTAGAACTCTCATGGTAACTGTCATGGTATCCAGTCCAGTTTGCTGCCATATGTATATTGGTATCAGTTTTTTAGAGGATAAATTTCGGAAAGTACACCTTAAAAAAGTTCCTTCAGGGCCTTCTCACCATTCGGAGAGTACTCACCTGATTCCCTTTGGAGGGAGGGAATACTGATGTGAGGGTCCTTTTAGAGAATTATATGGAGCCTTGACATTTCTGCGGTCCGTTTCTATCTCCTCGCAACGCCTTTTCCATCATTATTTTTTTGCGCTTCAGTTTTTTATGTTCAGTCCATGCTTTGCAATAATCGCTCCACTCACCTTTTGGTTGAGTGCGTCGAAAGAGATCTTTAGGGAAATCAAATTTTCATCTGAATTCTGCCCTTTCATTTGCAAGAGTGTCATTCCACCACTCTGGTACTTTTCTGTTGAAATTCAGAAACGTGTTAGGTCCAGTGTATTATGTCTTACTGTCCCTTTAACAATGCCTAAACAATATTCCAGGTCTGCTTGATATGCTTTCCAGTTTGCTTACTAAGGTTGTGACAAGTTACTCATTATCTTTTCTCAAGGATTCATTTACCAAGGCTCATTACATTTTTAAAATATGAAACACAAATAGAAATTATTATCATGAATATAAAATAATATCTACTATTTTGGGATACCTACTAACCTTCGAATGATGAAGGTATGTAAGCGGTCTGTATTTTTTATTCATATCATGATTATTGTGACATGAAAAAACTGAGAACAAAAATATTATAAAATAAAATGAATGAAAAGTAGTCATATACCTTTTACCCCAACCCAAATCCATATTGTACATCTTTCCAAATATATTAATAGTCTACAGAGCAATTGGCTTGGTCAAGGCTACAATGTAAAAAAATCATTCATGAAGTCGACTTGGCGATTAATAAAACAAAATTTTAAACCTCAGTGCTATCCACAATTGTAATGGTATAATACCAAAAGTAAGCCATGCTTATGTGTTTTAGTAACAAATTATAAAGGGACAAAAAGGTACTCAAGTGAGGAACACTTTCAGATTTTTTAATTCACCTATCAGTGACATTTATAATCGTTAGTTTATTACAATATTTTTATTTTTAGATGTCGAACAAGAGAAATTGATCAGATTTTTGAGCAACCTCAAAGAAGACAACCTGATCAGCGGCAATACTGTTCAGGACGCGTTTAAGTCACTCTGTAATGTATTGGAAGAGAGAGAAAATGAGATTAACAAAGTAACAACTGCAGCTTCGGTTCTGTTCGCTACAGCGATTTGCGAACATCTAGTACCCCTTTCCGACGTTGCTAATTTGACTGAGAACGGAGCACACCACCCGCTGTTCCTTTTAGTATTGCAGAATATACACAAGAAGAGGGGAAAGAGCGAATTATCGGAAATGTTCAATAAGAGTAAGGTTAGTATAATTGAAAATTTAGTTTTATTAAAACATTTATATGCTCGGTCCGTATTACAAGTACTTTGGGCTATATAAATTAAATAAATTTATTTTTTTTATAGATCAACTTGATGACCCAACTGCCAGATTGTGATAAGACTAAAGAAAGGTTGTCGGAAATTCTAGAAGAAAGAGATCTAACGTTCCTATACCCATTGCTACGTATACAAGCTGATCTTGCTCGTCAACTTCAAGCCGATCCAAATCCACAAGCGTTCTACAAGTGGATCAAGGAAAATCTAGAACCTTCAAATTTTAACGATCCTGGATTCATAAACGCACTTATGACTGTTTTGTTGAAATACATTACACAGGTAAATATTTATATTTTTTATAACCTCATGCGAACATTTCATTTCATTCTCGGAAGTTAATTATTCAATATTAATGGTACAATATGACGTAACTTGGATTAATTTTCTTAATCTGTTACCTACTTGCATCAAATAAATCACATTCATATATTTTTTAGGAATCATCTGCTTGTGGCGATGAAAAAGCGATTATAGAAAAGGAAAATGGCCTCTTGAAGCGATACCAACCGATCTTGCACGCCTTCCTGCGCGACAAATCCAGTTTGCAGTTGGTGGCACTGTATTCGCTCCAGATGCATTTCCATTCGCTGGGATTCCCACGCGGTCAGCTCTTGAGGTGGTTCAATGCGCTCTATGACATGGAGATTGTCGACGAAGAAGCGTTTTTGAATTGGAAGGAGGATGTAACTGATGCATATCCAGGCAAGGGTAACGCTCTGTTTCAGGTAAGCTTTATACTGATTTATTTAGTAAAGTGTGATTAAAGACGTTAGATGTTAGCACACTACGTTTGCAATGTAGCAAGCATATCACCATGTATTCCAGCCTATTCGATAATAGCCTTACCAACACAGGGGCTAATTCATGCAATAACAAGCTCCATCACTTCACAAGTGTTGTCTTACAGACTCCCACACAGACAGATGCGATTTCGTAGAGTCGAGAATAGTGAATGACTTATAAAACTCTTCAAGTCATATCGTTCTTCAATTTTTGAGTGAAGTAACTTTGTTCTGTATTTTCTCTTCATAGACGCAATGACGCCTTGGTCCATAGGTTGAACTAACACAATCATGTTTGGGGGCAAATATTTTTTCGTCAGCAGACTTAAGCATATGCCTTTCAGGATGTGAAGGGGCGTTAACACAGCTTTTTGTGGCATATTATTGGCTTTTAAATGATTTTTGACTTCGAACCACTCTTGAAATATTTTTATATCCATCCACCCGTTCCTTTGGTTGAAATAATCAACAAGTAGTTTTTCTGCTCTAGTGCTCTTAAAAGATCTAGGTTTTTTGCCTTGCCAATCACCATCAACTTCAGTTTGTGACTTTCTGTAGCGTTGCTGTAAGACATAATCGTAATCCGTTCTTCGCTGGATTTATGGCCCTCTGATTTACCTTCGCTTAGAAAAGCTAGCGTCTTAGTTGGAAGGCATCTTCACAATAGGTCCAATTCGTCTGCGTTATAAATTTGTTCGTAGTTCAGATCATTTGAAGAAAGAAACTCTTTGGAATCACTTTTAAATTCCTCAGCTCACCTTTGGTCACCGCTGAGCTTCTCTCCATGAAGTCGTATCTCCTTTATCCCATGGCGTTGCTTAAAGCGAGTCAATCAACCAGATGATAAATCGAAATCCCCTTCTAACTCAACATGTCAAAAAACTGTTTTGCTTTTACAGCAATTATTGTACCTAATATGAGTGTATCCTTGTTACGAACCTGGGCTATCCATTCTGCCAACGCCGTCTCTAATTCTATGTAAGATGAGGTTCTCGTTGTAGAAGAGCTTTCTGAAATTGATGCAAATGAAACAAGTTTTTTCTTTTGTTTTTAAATGTCTCGCACTGTCGATTCACGGATACTGTACTGAAGGCATATAAGTTTACGGGGAGCATAGTTTTCAATTTTACTTGTTGTAGATTTTGATTCGTCAACAAAACTTTTTTTTCTTTTCTTCGACATGGTTACAAAACAATAAAAAAATGCAAACTCTATCGTCTTTTATAATAAAGAAACAATTTGTTATCTCCTTATAACAAAGAAATAATGAAATTAGTCAGTTGTCTTCCTTTGTTACTAAAAAATACTCATATGTTCACCATATAATTCTTGTTTATTCACTTTTGTATCCATTCTGATGAATCCAACGATGATTTGGTGGAACAGGAACACTTTGCGGATTTTTCGGGTCGAATTTCATCCGTTCATTTCGGATGCAGCTCCCAGTTCGAAGGTAAGCACAGCAGGTTCCATACAACAGCTGGTATTTTGGTTTTCAACACAAAACTTAATTCGTCGATCTGGATCATCATCGCCTAGTTCTTGAAGAATTTGTGTTTTGTACTAGTGAAACTTAAGTAATTTCAACACCTTTCTAACCGACTCACGTGAAAGTCCTGTCATTGCAGATACTTGACATTGCAAAATTTCAATAGACCTCAATTTGGGATGCCTTATTCAAGTAATCTTAGGGCATCCTTTTTTTATTTTACACCGATCTCTTTTCTCTAAACTTTTCAACTAAATCGCGGACGTACACATGACTTACATTTTTGTCCGGCTGCCTTTCATGAAATATTTGAACTGTTCGTAAATAACACTGGTTCTGGGAGGCAAATTTGTAAATAATCTCCACGCGTTCAAGGCATACTGTAAATCATCGTGACTGAATGACCGTACCGATCGTACAAATGATGAAAATTAATGGCATTTAAAACTCAAATAAACCAAGAATTTTTTAATCCTACAAAACCCAAAAAACAGATGTTTTAACTTGTTTTGCAAAAAAAAGGAAAATTGGGTTTTTATTTAACAAAACAAATTTCGGCGCGCACTTATCATTAAAAATATCTAATAGTCCGGGAGATAGCATTACAAATACAAAAGTCATAGTAAGCCGGCTGATATTAATACCCTTTATTATTATAAAACAATAATTATACAGGGTCATCAACAGAATGAACAAATTCCTCATTAAATTTTACATTTAAGCCAAAGTTTCACAATTATTGCTTCACCCTGTATAATTATTATTTATACCATTGCATAGCATTTTTATAGTCTTTTCAATGATATATTACAAGTAGGGGTTTGAAATTTAAACTTTTTTGGTTGTATTGGGTGAGGCCTAGGGGGTTGATGGGAGTGAGTTCTCTTTCATTGCATTTTAGTTCCCCATTAGTTTCTTAGAAACGGTTTTAAGCATTTTTCGATATCAGCTTTTGTTCGTGAGATATAGGGCATTGTAAGTTTTAAAATTGACACTATATGTCATCCTAATCCTTTTCAACTTTAATTGTGATTAAAATATGACACTACACAAAAATATCATTAACATCAAATGATTATAATAATATATGTATTACTTAGGTGTTGACACTAAGTCTATCTATCTAATTAGCCTTCTTCGGTCCATCTTTGGATATCCATCTAGAGCCCACGTGCTTCTTGATATCATCTGCCCATCTCATTTGGGGCCTTCCTCTGCTTCGTTTATATTCTCACGGTCTCCAACTTATAAGAAATTTGTTCCATCGGTCTTCTTTTTTGTCTTATATTGTGTCCGGAAAATCTCCATTTCAATTTTGCAACTTCTTGTCTAACATCCCTCACTTTTGTTGTCTCTCTTATCCACTCGTTTCTCTTCTTATCCATTAGTCTTATGTGCAACATTTGTCTTTCTATTGCTCTTTGGGTTTTTATGATTTTGTCCATGTTTGCTTTTGTAAATGTCCACGTTTGGGAGCCATACGTAAGAACAGGGAGTACGCATTGATTATATACTTTGGTCTTAAGATGCTGTGGATATCTTTTGTTTTTAAGAATGTAGCTTAGTTTGCCAAATGCCGCCCATGCCAGTCTAACCCGTCTCTTGATCTCTGCTGTTTGGTTCTCTTTGTTAAGTTTTATAGTTTGACCAAGATATATATAATCCTTAACTTGTTCTATTTCATCTTGTCCGATTCTCATTGTGATGTCTTCATCTGTATTTGTTATAGTTTTGGTCTTGCTGTAATTCATATTAAGGCCTATCTTTCCAGCTTCTACGTCTAGTTCTTTCATCATTTCAAATAATTCTTCTTTTTTATCGGTTATCAATACTATGTCATCAGCGTACCTTACATGGTTCAAGCGTTGTCCATCCCTTCAACGTCATAATTAAGTCCAATCTCTCTATCTAATCGCCAATTTAATTTTCTTCGAATGAATGAAAGGTTGAATAATATCATATACATTCTGCTATGATTACTCGCAGTTATATCTTCAAAACTTGAGTGATCAGACTTATTGTTCGATAATAATTACTATTATTTCAAAATTAACCCTAGAACCACAAGGTGGAATTTGCGGAACGTTAGCGACAAGGTGGCGTCATATAAGACCGATAAACTTGCTCTTTATATTTCAATCCCTGCTATTTATAACTTTAGTTGTTGCGGTAAAAAGTGTGTTTAATAGGTATTAATTAATGTTAGATACTGAAATTAAGATTTATTAACACCCAAGTTATAACAATTATTAGAAAATTTAAAAATGATCCGTATTCGTAACTTAAACTATAAAACTAAAGAAAACATTGCTTCGCCAAACTTCGTTTTTATCAAAAAGTGTGTTAAAACTGGGAAAATTAAAAAGATAGAATTTTTACAAAAAAGGCATTTACAATCTACACAAATGCTAAGGCGGTGTTCGGCGCATACACTTTTATGGCAATGTTCTCATTTATTTCGAGCCTTTCTGTTCGTGTTTCGGGGACAGAAGTCACATCGGCCTAATAAATCATTTATCTTTTGAGCAGTTTCTTGTTCTTCGCAATTCAGAAATTTACGAATCTTATTCCTAATTTCTCTTGGGAGGCGTGTATTGGTCATTCTTTGTTTCAAATAATCTTCTACAAGGAAATATGATAAATCTTTCAGAAAAGCGGACCGTTTCTGTATTTTTGTTTTGCAGTTATATTTGTATATCACATAGGATTTGAATCCAGCAGTATCAATCATAGCATACAAAATTCGAAGTGACCACCTGCGAGTTTTCCTCGAGACTGTCTTTACATGACAAAGTTGATCAAAAGTATCATCGCCGCCTTTTATTTCATTGTAGAACAAAATTATTTCAGGCTTTTTTTTCGTCAATATCTACTGTCGTGTGCATAGTTGATAACAATATAACAGTCTTGTTTTTCTTAGGCACGTAAGAAACTAACGTGCTGGCTTTGGAATATCAGGTTTATTTTTTCTGATTGTTCCTATCAGCGTTAAATTCTTTTCCTGTAATTTTTCTGCGGCTTCGTACGAGGTAAACCAATTGTCCATAGTGCAATTTCTATTTATCCCATGAATATCTGTTGTAAACTCGAGCAAAACTCAAAATCCTAAAAGCGTCTCATCAATTGTTACATATTCCGATGGAATGTACATTAGGATTTCTCGAACATATCACAAATATCCCTGATAGCTGCAAATTTATCAATCTTTATTATGTCTTCTCTCGTTTCCTTATTATCAAACCATAAACAGTTGATCAGAAGTTCAAAACGGTTCTTGTTCATGGTTGCCCTAAAGAGAACAGGTTCAAAAATTGGTGATCATAAATCACCCAGTGTGACATGGGCATTTTTTTAAACACCGCTCAAATATAACAGACCAAACAACGCTCGTATTTCGACACTATCCGTTGCTCCAAGATACCATTGCTCGCTCTTATATCTAATTTTCTTTCTTTCGATTTCCTCATTAGTGTATTTTACAATTATATCCACCAGTTCTTTGCTAAAAAATAAACTTCAAATTTTTTTTGGATCTACCATATCTTTTGCTGGTCCTTTCGGTCCTGGCAAGTGAAGAACCAAGTTTTTTTTTTCGAAACCCTGGTATTTTGCTATGGAAACTATTTAGACACCACCTACGCCCATTTTTAGCATATATAACATTTTTGTTTTGGACTTATTTGTACTTTCTACTGCAATTTCCGGAGAGACATCAGGATTTTCTAGAATTAACGCATCAAATTTATCATCCTGCTTATCCTCTATATCTATGTTCTCTTTAGTTTCACTCTCATCGCTTTCTACAAACTCATCTGAGTCGCTAAAACCTTCGTTCGTCAATTGTTCTAACTTTAATTGCCTCAAAGGCCGTCTTCTCTTATAGCCATTGCTGCAACCGGGTGTAGCTACATCTAATTTAGGCCTCTTTGACTCCATCCTTATAGTAAACACTCTGCAACAATTGTAAGAAATAAATAAATAATTTCAAAAAACCTTCATATTTACCGTCGTAAAATTCCAAACGTAAATAACAAGGTGGCGTTGTATGCGAGCGCTATGGTAAATCTTAAAACTGGTGCACTAACCTACTCGACGATCAATTGGCAACTAAAAATGCGAAAGATAGATAGATGCTTAGCTGCGTCCGGACAATGAAATCTGTTTAAGAGCGGATAGTACGATTCGCCGATCGCGGGCGAGGCCACCTTGTGGTTCTAGGGTTAAGATATATGTTAATGGTTCATTATCTTGAAAAAGTAATTTTGTTATTTTTTGTTTATAGGTTAATCAATGGTTGACATGGTTACAGGAAGCAGAATCAGAAGAGGAAGAAGGAGATGATTGAACTAGGATTTAAAAAAAAATAAAAAAATATAAGTGGCGTGATTTTCACATAATAGTAGAAGTTTAAACCTAAGTTAAGTTATTAAAATATAAAAAATACAGGAAACGTAATGGAGGTCTAGTCTCCATTTATTACTTCGCTATTTGTTATCTCGACAAAAAATTTCTCGTCTTGATAGACTTTTTTCTAATTTAATATAAAAGACAGTTTCGTTGTACCTTACCAGCGTTGGACTGAGGGCGTTCAGTGGTAGATCTTTATAGGAAGTGCAAAAGACATTTTGTTCGCGTCTTATAAGTGTAAACTTGAATGAAAGTAACATGTTTTTTATTGAATACTTTTAAATAATAACAACATACATTAAAAAGTGTTCTCTGGCATGTCCATACAATAAGATCAAATACGAAAAATGGCGAACATTCAATGCCCCTTAACATCTGCGTGGCCACTAGCGAATTTGACACCGTCTTTAGTCCTACACTGGATTCACATAGCCAGTAACACAAATGTGACGCCGAAATTTTTTGTGGGACCCTAGGTTGATTTTTTTAGTTAATATCTTCTTGTGCGTGGACGATTAATTATACTCCAGTCTGAAGAACTCTTAGTGGAATTTTTTTGTGAAATTATACTTAGATAAACGTAAAGATTATTTTTTATTCTTTGTAAATGGTATTTTATTTTCAATGATCATGATTAATAGATCTGTAAGTGTAGTTTCATCTTAGGTTTTCTTTTAACCATACCTTTATATTGATTAATAAATTATTTTTTACATAAAACTACTATTTCGTTAAATATAAGACACATTTTAAGATAAGTACCTCGACAATAACAACAAAATATTACTTAGGTACGGCCAAATAGTATAAGACGTAAAATGGTTTAAAGCATAAACAATGCATTCATATTTTTAAGCCACAAAAGTTGAAATCTATCATTGATAAATGATTTGATGTTTTCATTGCAAGAATGGATTGCATTTTGAAATTGCAATTGTGCAATTAAAATGCAAGAATTGCCTAAATATGAACATTAAAAAGACTAATTATGAACAAATAATTATCTACGAGGATGATCAGAAAAGTACTTGACCTTATAGTGATAATGACAACTTTATCCGCTCCAAAGTACTCATCTACTCTAGCAATTGCTTCTTGAATACCACAAAAAGCACTGACCAACGAAGTTCTTCAGTTTTGAAACAGAAGTCCAAGTGTCAGTAAGTAAACATTTTTATGGCAACCGCGCAGCACTCAACGGTGTTCCCAATGTTGCTGCAAAACATGTTGAAGGTTGATTTACTAACACGGATCCGGCTCGAAAGACAATGATATGTTCATATCATTTAATATCCATTTAATTTGTAAACACGTTTGTTTTTTATTTTCTAGTCTACCAACCAAGAAATACGATGAATCATGTAGTATAATATTACCTATTACATTTTTAGAAGTTGAGAGTAGTATTCTCCAATTGTGGCTTTATTTTTTTCAAGATAGTCAATCTGCAAAATTCTTGTCGTATCCCAATGTCATCTTTTTGACGCTTAAGGTCTTCAATCCATTGCTTAGATTGATGTTTGATTTCAAATGTTTAGTAATAAGTGTATGTTTCAACCAATGTAACGTATTGACATATAAAGTCACCTCTGTTTTTCTCAAAACCAGTTTTCATCAATCATTTTTTGGATAGTCTCACGCAGTATCCGTCTTGCTTAAAGCTATTCCATGTTTAATTCTAGTTCCGAAGTGTGACCAAGCCGTTCCTTTGATGTCCTAAGGACATTGACAATATCACGTATCTTTGTACACCGATCTTCTAAAACAGATGATTTCCAGTGTAGCGGCAGTTTTGCACGTCCTTCGTGTGATCCTTCGAATCATTAAAATTGTCACGGCTACTTTTAAATCGACCGCCCATTTCTTCACAATTATTAAAATTGAAAATAGGGGAATAATCACCATAAAAATGAATTGCGGGCCATGTTAAATCAGCTTTTTATCATTTCACGGTACTCTTGAAACAATTTTTGTCATTTTCAATACTACGCGCAATCCGATTGTTTCAATCGACTGCCTATGTCAACTGCTGATTGGAATGACTTGAAATTGCGGCTATCTCTGGAGGTACCCTTCAGCAGACATTCTATTATATGAGATATCAAGTGATAAGTTAATGTACTATTACCATCTAGAATGCTAAAAAAATCTTATTTATTATAAATGGCCATTAACTTTTTTTTATATTATGTTTCGACTTTTGAAGATTACAAAAAGTATTTTTTTACATTGTTCCTCTATTTTAAAGATTGCGCCAAAAAATTTTCATCTAAAAATTACTCGGCAATGGCGGATAGTTAGTCTCTGGAATGCAAATCTGAAACAGGAAAACTTGGGAAGCGTTTTAAAAAAGAAGTGCCCTTACGTGATCGTGATAGTTTACCAGAAAAAATTGAACATAGAGCGGACTTCGTGGTGAGCTTAAAAAATAATATGGCGGGCGTTTGAAAAAATTGTTCAATAATTGACCTTATTTAAATTTTTTTAGTCACACAAATTTTTAATTTTTTGTCAAATTGTGGTTAACTATCTATCATAGATAAAAAACAAACAAAATGCATCAAGGTTTATTAAAATCGACTAGATCCGAAGATTAAAGATTTTGAGAAAAACGTTTTTAAAACTAGCGGACAGATAATCTCCGGATCTAGTCTAGTTGATTTTAATAAACCTTAATGCATTTTATTTGTTTTTCTATTTGACCAGAAAAATAATAAAATTTTTATTTTTTTTAAGAATTTTCAATTTTTTGGCAAACTATCACGTAAAGGCACTTCAGTTTTAAAACCCTTCTCGAATTTTATGTTTGAAGATTTGCTGTTTCAGAGATTAACTATTCACCATGGAACAGTAATTTTTGCCGTCATCTTTCTAATACAGGAACAATAAAAACAGAAAACAATTTTTTTGTAATCTTCAAAAGTTGTATAATATAAAAGAAGTTTAAGTGTCATATATATAATAAATAAGATACAAGAAAAAAATGTTGAAAATCTGTAATTTTTTAGCATTTCTAGTGATAATAAACGGATACATAAATGCAATGTCAAATTGAAATCATTTCAACATGTTTGCAAATATATTAAAGTTTCAGTAAATGACCACATTTGAAAGTGATGTAGATGTCAGGCAAATGTCAGATTATATTAGAATAGTATTTCTACTACTACGTTCATTCCCAAGATAAGCTCGAGATAATACTGATCGGTGAGTGTGTCGTGTTCTAAAATTAATTTATAACCAATGACTAGCTGCGACGACATGACACCGATCAGTTCGACCTCGAGCTTATCTTGGCAATGAACGTAGTATAGTAACACATTTTAAAGAAAAGAATATTATTCTGAAACTATTTATTTGTGGTATCTTAATAGTTTATTTTTATTTCCGAAGTGGAAAAAGAACGAAACAAAATATCAACACATAGTTGGATTTGAATGGATTACTGTTCAGTGAATGGCTTTGTTTTGAAAAGCAAAAAAGAGTAAAAATCATTAAAATTTGATTTTTAAAAGTTTTGGTCTGTGTATACTTCTGTTACAACAGCTTCAAGCTTTCAATAACTCAAGTTCGATTTTCAACGACTGATTTGTCTTCTCATGATTTTGATAAAGCTTTGCAACAGGTGAAGGGGAAAGTCAAGAAAAAAAGAATGAAAATTTATTTGATTTTAAACGACCTTTTTCTCGGACTCAACGCTTCTGTTCCAAAATCAAATAAAATTTCTCATACGTTAGTTTATATATTTCCAATATAAACATGTAAAATTTAGTTTAAATGATAGTCTTGTTTTGAAATGTGCCGTATAATTACTTTTATCTATTTTTTCGTATAAATTTTGGGAAATTTAATTTTTGGAAAGATAACTTTATTTTTTAATTTTGAGATGTATATTTGGTATTTAATTTTTAGTTTGTTAATCATTAAGGATGAGACTGCACCTATTTGCTCACCACCCAGATGACTGTGTTAAGACATAAACGAGCTTTTATTCTGTAATACTTTTATATACAAAAATGTGTTCTATTTTTTGTGTAACTCGTGTCCAAGTAATGTATTTTCTCAAGTATTTTTTCGTTGTTTAAACTTTTTTTTTCAATACCCTTAGGTAACTTAATGTGTCACTAAGAAACAACTATACTGTGAACGTTTTGTGTTTAATAAACTACTCGATGGTATTTTTTGCTATCGATGTCAATTTTATTGGTGTTTCTACCTAATTCCTAGTTGTTTGTTGTAGTTTTGGTAAAGCAATATTAAAAACTAAGGAAGAACTTATTTTTAATAAAGTCCTTTTATCCTATGACGGCCGATATATAATTAAGATATGATCAGTGGGTCGTTAATAATTCCGATCGCTTGAAAAGTGAAAATATTTAATTTTTTGTATTTTTCAGTAATAATATTGGATTTTACTGTGTCAAAGGCAAATAAAATGAATATAATATGTATATACAGGGCGTGTTAAAAGAAGTACGACGGAATATTTCGAATACATTTGTCGACATCAAATGTTCATCAAGGTCTCTATAAGTCTCTATTTTGCGTAGAGTGAAAATTATACGAATGGTTTTGCATGCAGGAAAGTTAGAAAATACTTGCCAAGTTGCTGGTATGTCCAAATTTGAATAAAATACATCCAAGACTTTACTTTCTGCAGTCACTGTATTAAATGTAACCTTGAAACAAATTTGCACTAAATCACTTCCGAGTTTTCAGCGAAGCAAAAGGTTTAAATACGTGTAATTCATACCAGTGTCCAGTAATTAAGGCCGTTTTAGCAGTCAAAGCACACTGCGATTTGAAATGGGCGTATCACTTACTTTTCTACACTGCTTACGCCAGCCGACGCACATACATAGATTTTAGATATTTAGGCGGCCAAAAGTCATTTTTTAAAAGTCGAAATAACGGTAAGCTATCAACCGTTTCGGTGAGTCAACAGTTCCACCTACAATATAATATCCCCTCCACCCACGAACGAAGCGCCGGAACTGGCCTACGGTCATTCTAATTCGACAGTGAACGAGTTGGTACGTGTTAGTTTTCGACGCTCTCCTATACTTATAACTTTCTTAAGTGCATTATTCATTTCAAGCTTATTGGTTCGTTTTAATTGTAATGGATTGCAATAATACAGGTAAGAACTATTGTTTTTGAAAACACAATAACTCAGTTCACATTATCTATCATTAATTTTGAACACGACAAACATCACCTTGTTCATAATGTATTTTTATACTTTATGAACAATAACTGTATTATATAACTGTTTTAAAGTACTTCTTAGTCCGTCCCTGTCATAATTTTTATTACAATAAATACTTGACATATATGACTAAGTAATTCTATATAAAACAGCCGCGCAAATTCGCGCTTTTTTGAGTTAAGCCTCTTTGAAATGCTCAATGTCAAATATTTCAAAATATTGAGTTTGCGTTATTTTGTATTAAACTCGTTTTTCATTTGTTTCAGGTCTACCTACTGCATCGGGTACTAAAGTAGTGACTCGTCAATATATATTTGACCAATTACAAAGTCAACATTTACCAACATTAAATGAAAAACTTGACTATTATGAGAATTTTCTCCTAATGCGTTATGGACAAAACCAAGAGGCTAAAGATGTCTTCAAACAAAAATATTCTATATAAAATCACAAATTAAGCAACGATAGGCAAAATTAAATAAACACCTAGGTGTTTTCCTGAAAAAAAAAACCAATTGTGGTTAGAGGGAACATTCGAAATTCCTATTGAAACAGTCTTCGCTCAAGGTCGACCACCCAAGTCTTTTGGGGAATTAAATGAGCATAGTAAACGAAGGAAGACGGAAGAAATAAGAGCCTCCGTAGGTAATGAAGTTATTGTCCACGCTGCTAAATCTGTCTTGCAGACAACAGGACAAAGGACCGCCTCAAAATTGCTTAAAGAGATTACCAACTCACCAACACGGGCCAGTAAATATAGAAAAGCCTACAGTAAACTTTGCGACAAGGATGAGCTACCTCTGAAACTACCTGCGCAGAGGCAACCTACAGTGCCTAATGGATCTAACCGTGACACGATTATCAAAATACCTAGATGTACTAATTCGACTTAACGAGCAAGAGAGGAAGTCGTTAATGATAATTTGCAAATGGGGTTGTGACGGTGCCCAACAATCCAAATTTAAACAAAGTTTCAATAATGATACTGATTCAGATGCCAACATTTTTATGAGTTCTTTTGTACCTTTGCGCATTGTTTGTGGAAAAAACGGTAGTAAAATTATATGGCAAAATCCAACCCCTTCTTCGTCAAAATTTTGCCGGCCAATTCGATTTAGATTTGTGAAATAAACAACAGAAGAAACAAAATATGTGCAGGAGTCTATTAAACAACTAAACTGTATAGTTGTTACGTTAAATGAAGAAGAGTTTTCGTTCGGACACCAACTCACAATGAGTATGATTGACGGTAAGGTGTGCAACGCAGCCACAGACACAAAGTCAACATCCCAGTGCTACATTTGTGGGGCTACCTCGAAGAACTTTAATGATTTGTCAATGAAAAATACTGTAAACCCTCAAGCTTTGGAATCCGGTTTGTCAATATTACACGCACGGATCCGTATTTTTGAAAGTAATATACACCTTGCGTATAAAATACCTGTAAAAAAATACAGGGAAAGAAAAAGTAAAGAAGAAAAGGCATTAGAAGTCCAAAAGAAGTCGGAAATTCAGGAGAGGTTTCGGAATGGAACCGGACTACTCGTTGACATGCCAAAGGCCAACTTTGGCAACACCAATGATGGCAACACAAGCCGCAGATTTTTTGAAAACCTCGAATTGGCTTCAGACATTACAGGAATTAGCTTTGATCTGATTTACAGATTTAAAGTTATTTTAGAAGCTATTTCAAGTGACCACAAAATAGATGCTGATAAATTTGATACGTATGCGTACGAAACAGCAAAATTGTATATGGAACTGTATGATTGGCACCCAATGACGCCAACCATGCACAAGCTATTAATACATGGAAGCCAAATTATAAAAAGTTCGCTACTTCCAATATGACAGCTATCAGAAGAAGCTGCAGAAGGCCGGAACAAGCATTTCCGATCATACCGGTTAAATTTTGCTAGAAAGTTTTCTAGGGAGGAGTGTAACTTAGATATATATTAAAGGCTTTTGTTAAGTTCAGATCCCTTTATTAGTTGCTCGAGCCAAATAAAAAAACCTTCACGCAAGGCATTTCTATCTGAAACGATTGAACTTTTATTACCTGCTGACCCAAACATAGAGTCAGTGAAGACGTCTGAACCGGAAGATAATGATTATTAATTTATTTTTTCTTTATTGTTAATTCGAGTTTTCATTCATTTGTATTTTGTAACTATTACTGTTTTTTTATAAAATGACAACTACATTTGTTGTAAAAAATATTTTTTTTTCTTTACTACAACTTTTTCTTTAATTTAATTGAACGTAGAACCAAAATTACCCCAAAAATAATTTTGGCCGCCTAAATCTTTGAAATCTATGTATGTGCGACGGGTACAGCTGTTTACTCAGTGGCGCCGGCCGACGGGTAGTTTAATGACAACAAATGCATTATTCATTCCAATTAGTTTTGTCGGAAATACCTTTTTTGGTTGAGTTTACCGAAAGTACAAGCTAATTGTAGCCGCAAGTGTCAAACATGGAACAAACAATTTCGTTGTAGCAGTGTTGGCATGTTGATGTAGATGCTGTATGCTTTAAATATAGAGCTTTAGAAAAGTACATTTTGTTTATATTATGTTATGCATTATGCATTTTTTGATTTATATCAAACAACAATGAGTAAATTATATTTGTAATATTTGTTTCTTTAGAGATTAATTGTAGGTAATTATTAAAAAAAATTTTAGCAATTACCCTTTGGTAGATTTGGGGATAGATTTTTCAATCGTCAAATCAGCAGTTGCCATATTACAACATGTGTTTGCAATTAATCTCGAAAGAGACAAATATCTACTCGTCACTACTTCATATAAATTAAAAATTGCAGAATTTATAAAATAGTATAATCAAAATGTATTTTTTAAAAGCTTTTATCTCTTTATATTTAAAGCATACAACATATGCATTATAAAAACATGCCAACACTGCCTAGCCGAAATATTTTTGACATTTTCGGCTATATTCAGCTTATACTTTCGGTAACCTCAACCGCTTTTTTGATATATTATCGTAGATGTTTTAAAAAGAATTATCACAATTTTAATGTATGTCTTAGCTAAATGTAGTATTGAATAAAAATTTGTGAAACCTGACTGCAAAAAACATCATGGTGTTTATTTATGATAAATTTAAAATAACATAAAAATATCAAAAAAAATACAATTTGTTGTTACAAACAAATAAACAATTTCGCAGTTATAGCTTGAAAATGATCTCAAGAAGTTATATTTATTTGTTAAAGAAAACTGATATTAGTCTAGTAAAAATTAAACAAAAAATATTTTTATATTTATACTTAAAAATACGCGGAAACTAAGAACTTGTAACATGTAGCACTAAACTAATAATATGTTAGTTAAACATATCCGTAAACTAAAGAATTTCAATGTTTTCAAAATAACTAAGAATACTGTAAACACTAAGCAAGTTGATGAAGAAAATACAAGAATGAATAACTGAAAATGGATTCTGATTCAAGCGAACTAACTGACCGTACGTTCATGAGATTTGACGTCACGAAGGTGATAACCATGAAACTAAGTGCCAATGATGAGTAACACGTTTCACTATTAGATTTCGGTATTTTTTAGCAATTTTCTTCAAAGTTTGAACAGGCTTTTCTCGATTATTACTGGACACAGAAAGTTGAAAAAAAAATCAACGATTACAGAAAAAAACTCTTTCAAGTGATGGGCATAAAAAGTTTGGTTATAATAGAACGTTAAACAGTATAATCCAATATTTCAAAAGAACTTAAAAAAAAATAAAAAAAAGTTAAACCAACAATTTAAAGGCAACATAATTTTGAATAACGTGTCCAAATTTCGAGACACTTGTCGGTAAATAACAGAGAAAACACTGTCTCTAGGTTTTGGTGTACCGATAAAACAGCCTTAATACCAAATGTATTTAGAGTATGCAGTCCAGTAGACCCAAGGTACTTTATCATTTAACTAAAACAAACCAAAAAGTCCGAATTGAATTCCCGCAACA